ACAAGAGTTCAGGCTAAGAGTTGGTTGTGATATTGATTCATTTTGAAAGTTGGTACTATGAGCGAAACTGAATGCAATTACAGTTGGTGAGCTGCTAGGATGCAGGAAGAACTTTTTCGGATGAACGCTTGCCGAGCTAATTGCTGTCGAAAAAGCACGTAAAAGGTTTCCATTAGTGTGCGCATTTGAGACGGGGGTCATCACATTCTAAAATTGATGAACGGCCCGTCTGAGAGATACTTCTTTGTTCAATCATGAACAGGTGGGGCTAATTTGCGGGTTCGGGAGGAGGGGGAAAAACAAGCCCAAAATGTATGACCGCAATTGCCTGGAAATGGCAGTTTTTAGTCGATTGAAAGTTTTGTGAAGATGTTCTTTCTATCTGTAAAACAAAAAGCTAATTCGTTGATTGAGGTATGTTAGGCTACTGAAAAAGAGTAAATTCAATGTTGGAAGTCATTAAAAAGAGATTGTTCAAGTTTTTTGAAAAAACCAAGTTAACATCAAGTTAAACTTGCTAAATGTTTATCTGGTTTTTAAAAGATAGTAGTTCTTTTTGACAAAATCTGAACTAAGACTGTTTCCATTATGTTGCTTGGCAGTTCTGCTGAAGTATTTTTATTATCAGTAATTTTATGATTTCGTTGTAAATTTTCGAAATCTATATTTGATTTTCTTAGACAATTAGTGTAGAGAACGGAATTTCTTTGTTACCGATGTTCTAAGAGAATGATAAAACACTTTTCGCGGGCTGGTTTTTTTTTTCTCCAGACAAGATCCGATTTTTATCAAGCAATTTTTGACGGGTGTTTTTGTACAGTTAGAAAATTGTCAAGCCATGAGCTCAAATTATGATTACTCTGCGATCGCGTTTGAGAAACATATGAGCATTTGAAAGTTCAGCCAATTTAAGATAGTCAATGCTCGATCTTTACCAGTATCACTTCAACTAGGAACACGAGCGGCAGTTTAAACAAGATCCCAAACTATGAGTTGAGTTGAGGTCGGCTAACTGCTTCAAATATTGTTATAAGTGATATAGATATCGCTATGGTATTGACGATTTTTGTTGGAGTTAATCTGACGTACAATACAAAATGTTAAACCATTTAATTTTGACCAGAGGGTTCCTCAAAGAGTGTACTTTTCAACAAGCGGAGTACCTGAAAGTTGAAATGAAGTGTGATCAAAAAGGGTGATCAGTCTAAAATTGTACAGTCTAAAAATGTAATTCTGAAAAATAATTCAATGACTATTTTATTATCGTGAACTTAAATGTAAATATTTTTTTTTACAATTTTTGGTAGTCTGTAATATGCATTTTGTCAAGGCTTACGAGCTTTTTTTGCTACAAAGGTATGGTTTTAATTTAATGTAAGGATTTGTGAACGTTTTTCTTCTATTTTTTTTACTTCAATTTTTTTCCAATTCAAAGCTACCTCAGATACCGTAAAAACTATTTGATACACTCCGAGCTATCAGCAACACCGTTGCGAGGAGAGACTGGACATTGTTCTCGGTTGGCTTTATTCTTCATTCAAAATTCTCTTTTTATCGTTTATTTTTGGTTATTTGTCATCGCAAACTACTGAATTTTTGAGATTATATATTTTGTCCTTGCTGAATTATCTTTTAATGTCTATTTTTGGTTTTTTGTCATCGCAAGCTACTGAATTTGTCCTGGCTGAATTATGTGTGCTGAATTATATCTTTCTAAAAAGAATAAAACAGGCAATTTAGTTTTACAATACTACCAGACGCAAAGTTCATCACTTCAATAATTTTTATATGCGGGAGTTGAAATGGAGAAAAAAAATTATCAAAACATCAAAACCTTGAGTAGATTTCGGGGATTGCTTCTCTAGGCCCCTTCACACACTCTAACTTAACGGTACCGCTAGATGTCCCTTTGGTAATGAATTCAGCGGGGCGACCGAGATTCACTACTATCCACAACCCCGAAAGGGTTAAGTTGGTGGCAACTATTCTGTACCGTACTCTGTCACGTTTTTTTTGCTGCTCGTTAGGCTGTCTCGCACACTCTCATCGATCGCAAGAGTTTCCAGTTGTAATTAAATTCAGATGAATATTGTTCCAATTACAGAAGGCTATAGGCGGCCCGAATACAATCTAGTAATCTAATCAAAAAGAAAGGGTCCGCGACCAATCAACACCATTGCCTAATTGCAATTCAAATCCTAATTGACTTAGCTAACAATTCTCTCCTCTCTGAGAATCTTAATTAACGAACTACACGCAGTATTTTCCCACAATCACTCATTCTGACCTGCTAAAATTAATAGGGTCATTAAGGATCACTATTCCTTTGAGGTATTTTGACTAAAGTGTTAACTTCGCAATTCCTGATTCTCTAACTCGGAGAACCAACTAGACTCTAACTCGTTATCAATTGATCTCTAACTATCGAGAACCAACTACTCTCACTCGTAGCTAATTTTGTTCTCTAATTTTTGAGCATCAACTACTCTTAATAGTAGCTCGCACTGTTCTGCCTAAGGGTAGGCTATTTGTTATTCTCTATAATGTTTGTCTATTTGAGTTATACTTCGGGTTATGTCGTCCCCACAAGTCCTGACAACTACTTTGGTACTCATTTCGCAAAGTCTCAACTGAATTTTTCCTCTGACGACTCTAGTCTTAAATTCCAAGTTCATTATAGGTATCTCCAACTGAGTTGTGCAAATATCAAGTCCAATTTCATCTCCAAACTGAGTGATGTTTAATTAAGCAATCTCGCAAGGTTTTTATTTAATTATTCCATTAATGAACCTTCCCAGAGTAGGGAAGGACTCTTTTTATGGGTCGCTACTCCATTCCAAGCATTTTACGTTCCGATCTATACCCTCTTCAAATCTCGACCTTCTAGCTATCAGGGGAACATAATTCGCTTATTAGGGGTTAAATTGTGCTAAAAATTCATCTCCGGGGAGCTGGGTAAATACCTTGTTCAATCCTGTTATTTAGCTGTCCTACTTCCCATGCTGTGCTTCTATAAATGCCAATTTCCTCTTGGACTACTTTTTCCTTAATCAGTTGAATTTCTATTAATAGCGCAATCGCGAAGCTAAGTTGAACTAAATGTTTGCCAAGCCCGCTTTAATTAGTTCCACTACTTCAGTAATACTATGTATAACTCATATCTTTTTCAGCTTTTACTCAGTTTCCCAACAGATAAGTTCCCTCCCATAAAATATTCAGGTGACCGATTTTCATTCTCAAGTGTTAACGTTGGGGTATAGTTGGGGTATGGGGGTAGTATCCCAGAGTTTTCATGCAATTTTAGTCCTAATCACCCAAAAGTCATTTAAAGGTCACTTCGGGGTCACCCGGGGTCAATCTTCAACATTCAGGTTGTTTAGAATTCCATTGGAGTCCGACCTACCAAGTTTTATCCGTATCTCGTTATTACTTCCCAAGTTATCCCATTTATATTGTCCATTAAAACTTTTACCGGGAAAAGGCTATTAACACCGGAGTGAGTCACCGGAGGGGTTTCATTCACAAGAGGTCTTTTTTCGAGGATGAGTTGTATTGCCTACTGCCGCCGTAAAATCAATATGCTCTGGCTCATTATTTTGCGTAAATTGCCTGTTTCCGGTTTCAGGGGCACTTTTCCCAAGTGCTAATAACTTCAGGTCTAACCACCCAATTTTGCTCCAATAATAATACATGACGTATCTCGTCACTATCTATGATATCTCAAAGATTTAGCTCACTGCTTTCAGTGGGGTTCGAGAAACGAATCCCGGAAGTTGGGGCGGGGACTATTTGTCTAGGGCATAGCACCGGAAGCAGGGGTGCGGGGGGTCTGGGGTACCAAACTTGAGCCTCCCCTAATTAGGTATAAAACATACTATTTTTTGGTTCCATTCCAACCGCTAGTTGCCGAGTTCTAATAAGTCCATTTGCACTTCCGGGAACCGTTATCACTTGGGGCCTTGAATCCAATGGGTCTGGATTTTTGCATGCCCGGGTCAATTCATCTCTTGTATCGGTCCTATGAGTTTCATAAAGCTAGGCCAGGTAATTTCCATTTAAGGAGGTATCACATTTGGTACCGTTTTCAAATCCTGACTATTTTTTATTGGTTTTGGTCGATTTTGCAACTTGACCAAGTGTTTACTTCACTTACTTATCGTATTGATTCGTCAATACCAAGCTACGTACTACTCACTAATCTTCATTAAACTTCAGGCATTTCTCAAGGTAAAGCTCTCATTTTGAACTCTAAGTTTGACAAAAAGTGTTAGGATCACCAATCCTACTCAATGTAAAGAGGCAGTTGCGTTGAAAAAAAAATTTGTGTCTCATTTTGCTTTAAAAACTGAAAACTTTCCGATAGAACAAACAAAAATTGGAACTTTTTCTTTTTTGTACCACTTTGATTTTATGCTACTACATACTCAAACAAACAAAATACCATCCAATTTTGGCTGTAAATTTACATTTTCATGAAGAAAATCCTCATTTATGTGCCTTCTATTAGCTTTCCAGCTATCCAAGCAAATAAACGTTCCGGGAAAATTTGTTTGGCTAATGTTATGGTGGCTTATGACAGGAAAAAAGGTTGCGGAAAACTTACTTTTTTTGCGGTAATAACGATCCATAAACACATTGTTTTGGGCGAATCCGACCGATGTCGTTTTTTTGACGTGAAAATAAGATTTAGTCGTTTTCGACTTGTTTAAAATCCCTCTCAACAACAGCAGGCTCTCTAATAAAGGCCGTGACAAAAACATTTTTAATGTAAGAATTCAAGTTTACAAATGAATTAAAATTATTTTGCTTGGGTAGCCAAGCTTTTTACTAGTATTTTTATCTGCTTCGAATATGTTAAATGAAATGGTTCTCTTGAAGCTTGAGTTTGACTGACTCAAATTAGCTAATTAGATCCCACCATGTTAAATTCAGTTCAATGTTTAAAAGATTATTATTGAAATTGGGCTTAGAACTAATGATTAATTTTGTTAGTTTCCTTCATATCGTGAAAAACACCAAAACTTTTACAGCTTAATTGAATAGAGATAACATTTACAAATCAATTGTCCAGAAGACTATAAACTGGAAACTCTTCACAAATCCAAGGCTGTCTTCTGCAAATAAAGTTACTTTTGAACCAATCAAAACTCAGATTTCGCTGGATTGTGCCTCTGATAAACACGTCAATTGAGCTGTTTGTTCTTATAACGTAGGGTGCTTCCTGATGTCCACCTCTCAACTTGAATCCACCTTGTCCAAATCCCACTAGATTGATGATGTTAACACAAAGTTCTTCGTTGTATACAGACTGAAAAAGGTAACGTGCTCAAATTGGAACGGTTTGCTGATTGAAAGCTGATAAAATTTACCACAGTCGAGGAGCTCCGTTTTATTTCGACTTGAGAGCTCAGCAAGGGCAATTTGTGATTGAAAATTTGCGGTCGAATAGCAACTTCAGGTCGAGCAGGAAGTCAACCGACTAAAACATACCCAGCCATACCCAGCTGGAACCTGATCTAAACTACATTTTATGATTGGATAAATTAGATATTTTACCACTGTAAAGTATTTAATATTAACCAATCATGATCCATCTAACTAACAACCCACTTATTTGTAAGTGCTGAAATTACTTGTAATTTCAGCACCAGAGAGATTTGAATTTAACTTAGAAATTAGTTGACTCTCCAAGAAGACTTCAGCAGCCGCAATAAACCAGTATACCCTAGATCTATTGAGCCTAGCAGAGACTAGTTAAACAACCTGAGACTAGATAGTATAAGAGTAAGATTAGGATCGGTATTAGACTCAGAATTTGCACGAATCTATCCGGCCGAAAATAAGATAGCGTGACGAGCAGACGGTGTACCCTATCCGAAATTACTCTATGAGTTAACCTCCTCGGTTCTAACTCATCTGGTGCGACCATAAGTCTCGAACAAGACCTTAATAGCTTAGAATTAACCAAAAATAGATTAGAATTTAGACAAAACATTTTTAAAATGTTATACGACGATAATTTAATCGAAATGTCTCTACGACTCAATAGATCAGAGCCAATATTCCGAACGATAACAGAACTACCCGGAATTGCAAGAAGACCTCGAACCAGAGACGACATACGACAAAATAGAAACTTACCAATTAGTTATATGATAGTACGGCAAAAGCCAACACAAACTTTTATATTTAGAATTCTATTAGCAATGAATTTAGATTTCCATTTGCAAACATAAAATTTTGAATTCAATCTTCATAATCATTACAGGCGCTAAACAAAATATTAATATACAATAACGATTGATAAAAAGATCTCAGATTGTTTTCCTAAAATTCTGTAGTATTATATAAAACATGTTTGGAAAATATTTATTGAAAATCAAAATAAAAATTAGTAGCATGACAATAAACTGTTAGTAATCATAAAATCATCAGTTGTCTCAGCTTCATCACCTAAAACATAACAGCAATCATAAGCTCACTAATACCATTAAAACACTAAATCTTTTCTTAAACAAATTTAAACCATTTTAAACTTAAATTCACTTAATTTTAAAATCAGATCATCAAGGCTTATCCTTGGATCTTAATTCATTTTCTATTTAATTAAATTTAAACTTGATCATCAAGGCCTATCCTTGGATCAAAAAGAACAATTTTGTTCTCCCCCACCCACTTAGCTAGTGTCTAACGACCTCAAACGTCGATTCACTATCGAACCCTTTCAAAAAACCCAAGACTAATAGAAATTTTTGAACAAAACTAATCATTCAAATTAGGATAAACAGTGAAGAACTTCGGTTATTCATCCTTCACTTGATCCCTCCTCTTATCAAGACCCAGGATAAATCTTAGACTTAGTAAGTTTAAGATAGTATCTAACGAACTACTCGCGTTCTAATTATACCTGAACCTTGTGGATCGATTTACTATTCTCCAACCCTTGAACACAATCACTACCCTTAAGTAAGATTAAGTAAGTTAACACCTTAGCTTATACTAGCCACGAGAAAGTAAAAAATCATTCTTCGGAATCGATATACTTTTCTCTCCAACCCTGAACAAATAGACCCAGGTTAAGCTAACCAAAAAATCGTAAGGACTAACAATTTAAGAAAATAGAAATCATCTAACAATTTTTTGCATCCGTCATCCTAAACCTTATCTCATTTAAAAATCTAGGAAACAAACAAAGAATCGTTTTGCACAACTGTGAAATAGAAAACAAAAAATACGATCTTGTAATCAACCCTCATACACAAACAGTTGGATATATTAGAACAAAACGACAAACACTAAAAAGAAAAATAATAACTAATCAAAGATAAATACACAAAAACAAAAGACACATCCCTAACATTTTTTCAAAGATTAAATAAACAACCACCATTCTTTTCAAAATTTTATCCAATATATAATCAACAAAGAAAACACCTAAAACCACTATCAGGAAACATATATAATTTTTCAATAAAACAAGTTCACCAATATCATAAAAAACAAAATAGACAACAACTCTATATGTCAGATTTTGAATTCAAACCTATCCATAAATTTTTCAAAATCACGATTTCATCCATAAAATATTTGAAAAACTCGAATTCAGATATTATTTCTCTACATGTATACAACAATACACCCTATCAAGTAACGCTACCATTAGGACTTTTAGGCTTTTGCGAAACCAACGCTACGATATCACCAATACACGAAAAAGCATACCGCGTAAATAATATACTCCAATTATTAGATATTTGTCAATCCACAATTCTTAATGAAGAATTATCCATAAATAATATAATAAGTAATGAAAAAAGAAATACAGATTATTTCACAAAAACCCCATATTTCAAACCTACATTCAACATACATAACTATACAGAAAATCAACAGAAATTTTTCACAATGTTTAACTTCCAACATTCACAAATAACACAAGACGAATTTGATAAATTAGCCAAACAGCTAATAAAATATTCATCAGTCTATGCAACATCTAAATTTGATGTTGGCAAAATCAGTTCATCACTACATCTCCCATTAAAACCTGACGCAGTTTTCAAAAAACAAAGATCAAGTAAAGTACCAATTCGTTTACACGATAAAGTGAACAGATTACTCGATATTTTAGAACAATACAATATAATCTCACCGGTAAACAAAGAAGAACAACCAAAAGGTAACACATTTATCAACCCTGTTATCATCCTAGCAAAAGGAGAATCATTAAAAATAGTTCTAGACGCTAGATATCTTAATTCACTAATAGACGAATCAAAATGCAATTGGCCTATTGAACCAATACAAGTTATTTTAACAAAAATAAACGGAAAATACTTTACAACCGCAGATATGAATAGTGCATATAATCAAATGCCACTAGATGAACAATCGCGACGCTTAACACAATTTGTTATTGGAAATCAGCAATATGAATTCAACCGCCTATTCTATGGAATATCCATAGGACCAGCAGCATTTTCAGCTTTTATGAGCAAAATTTTTCGACCACTAATACTCAAGAAAAACGCAATCACCTATTTAGACGATGTTTTTATGCAATCACAGACAAAAGAAGAAATGTTTAAAGTTTTAGAACACTATCACAAAATACTTCAGAACAAAAATCTGAAGGCCGCCCCCGATAATTCACACTTCTTTTTAACACGAGTTAAATTCTTAGGACATAATATAGAAAGAAAAACAATCACTCCATTAAAATCACGCATTGATGCTATTCAAAAACTCCAACCACCAACAAACAAAAAGAAAATCCAAGAATTCCTTGGAATGTTAAATTTTTTAAGCAAATATGTCTATAAAATGCAATTATACCTAAGACCATTCTATAATATACTTAGACAACAAAATAATTTTGAATGGAACACAGAACATCAAGCACGATTTGAAGAAATTAAAAAACTCCTAACTGAACAAATTTCGAATACAATTCCAGATCCAAATCAACCATTCTATGCAATGTGCGATGCTTCAAATTTTGGCATCGGCGCAGCATTATTACAATCACACAATGGCACAAACAAAATGAATCTTATATCAGCAAAGTCTCGATTATTCACTCAAGCAGAGCTACGACTCTCAACTCTAATGAGAGAGTGTACAGCCATAATATATACACTAACAGAATATGAATTTCTAATACTTGGATCAAAACATCCAACAGTTCTATTCACAGATCACAAACCAATCATTTTTCTCTTTACACAAAAATCCAATCCAAATCATCGAGTTTATAGATTTCAATTAATTCTAATGAAATTCCCAAACTTACATATAGTTTGGACAGCAGGAAAAAATCTTGCATTACCAGACACATTAAGTCGAAATACACCACCTGAATTACTTACACGTAAAACTACAGTTGAAATACCCAAAAATATAAAATTCTACCTTGCAGAAAATGAAACATCACCCCGACTAGAATGCAAATATGCAGTAAAAACTGACGTTGAACAATCACAGATAAACAATTTACAACACTTCCCACTTTATTTAGATTGCCAAAATAACCACTACGAAGTTGATCTACTAGGAACATCAACTTTTAAACCAATTCCATATTCACAATGGATAAAAAATAACACCCAACAAAAAAGAGTAAAACAACACCCGCATAAAAAAGACCTTTTTCCATTAATTGAAAAAGAAAATCTAACTGATAAAATAAATTTATCAGGACCACAAACAAACGATTCAAAATACACAATAAATCAAGTTTTTGACCTCCATGACCCACTTGATACAATTCCTTTATCTAAATTAGAAATAGAAAACATTTTTCTCCCCCCAACAGATAAAATTACAATTAATACTTTGAAACAATATCAAAATCTTGACCCAGTAATTAGACAACTAAAATCATGGCACAAATATAAAACTAAACCCGTCAAGGCAGTTACAACTATTTTAGGAAATAAAACACTCCTCCGATATTTCCGAAAATTCAATAATACAACAATTAACGAAAACACAGACCTTCTAGAATACCAATTAAATGAATCTACAGTTCCCTGTCTCCCTCTAAGTATGATTCTTATAGCTTTTAATATTTCACATACACAAAACAATAAAGGACACTCTGGATCAGAGAAAACATATTCAAATTTCATACAAAACTTTTATTTTCCAAATGCACCAATTTGGATAAAAGTACTATGCAATGATTGTATAGTATGTCAGCTGAATAAACCTTATCCAAATCAAAAACAAATAGCACAAAAACAAGATTTTAAAGGACAAAGTTTGATACAAAAGGACCAATTTCACCCTCATCCGAAGGAAACTCCT